CTCCAGGAATGCTCTCCTCTCGTCCCTTGAGAAGTTGGATGTCCTTCCCTCCCCAAGCAAAGGTGCTTCCAGGTGCTCAGCTTGGCTGACACTTTGCAGAGATGCTCCTGAATGGCTCCTCTGATGGGCACCTGGGATCAGCCAATCAGGCAGCTTGTCTGGGTAGCCAATGTCCCTTTCAGGGCAGACCAGCCTGGGGTCTGCCATTTTCTCTTCTTTAAACTTGTTGCAAATGAGTCATTTCAGCGCAGTTACCTGAGAAGTATTTGCAGGGAAGTTGGTGGCCACTGTTGTCCTTAGGAAGGTGTAAGTTATTATTCAGAATATAAATGTCACCTCGAAAAAGAAAAGAACCATGCAGAAAAACTAAACATATTTAGGGTCCAGCTGGAAGGGATAGGAAAAGATTCTACTTCTCACCCAGATCCTGTAAAATATATTCTTAAGTAATCGATGTAAGCTAATTATTTATTTTCTCTTCAGTAAGACTGATTTCCTACGGCAGCATCGAGTCTGCATAAATAGCTTGAAAACGCTTTTAAAATGCTTCCTCTGCCTAAGTTTCTCTCTCAGTCCTTTTGCCTACATCAGACGTCCACGGCCTCTTGGGGACCGGGCTGTGGAAGTGGTGGGTGAGTGTGCATGAAGCTGCAATTGCACACGGGGGAGTTAGGTTGTGTGCATCAAACCATCCCCACCCCCCTCCCTCTCCTGGGGTCCACGGATCCAAAACAACTGGGGATCGCTGGTCTAGATGAATAACCCACAAACTGCATCAAAAAGTCGGTAGAGTCTTCATAGGTAGAGTAGCAGGGAAAAAAAAGCAGCCAAGACAGGAAATGTACACACGGATTCAGACAATCAAGGTTTGCTTTTTAAAACTGTATTTGGAGGAACAATAAAATCCAAGGTTACAAAGATCAGAACTGGTTGACAGCATGAAATTTGCCCGCTGTCCAACGACAACGGTCACCTTCTATTAATCATACAACGTACTAATGAAGTCAGAACCAGAAGGCTTCTTTTGTCTTGTAACCTACTCTCTTTAACAGTCCCCAGTTCACTTCTCCGTGTTGGGGCTGGGCGTACGTGAACTCTCAGGTTTTAGCCTTTGCAACCAGGATGGACGGCTACAACTCACCAGAAAAGGTGGCTTGTCCTGGTCTCATGCCACTCACCCCAAGACCTTCGCTGCAGCTGCTTCTGGGGTTGTACCCAGCATCCCCATCCAAATGTCCAACACTGAATCACACTTGTGTGTCTAATTCTGACACTCATAAAGTCAGTTGCATTTTCTTCTACTGGTGTCGGTAAATAAATGGCTGGTTCTATCTGCTTTGGCACCATTAATTAAAGACCACTTCCTGGACATAATAAGGCCATTATTCTCTTTAAGTATGGCCACATTTTGTCATGTAATATGCAAAATGCACAGAAATTGATCTGTTCACCAATCAACCCAATCAATATCAATCAATCAACCAATCATTTCTATGTATGTAAAGATTTTATGACCACTGACCATAGCAAAGAATCCATCCATCCACTTCATATTCTTTCAATGAATTCTTAGCCTAATTAAATCATCCTTTATCTACTGCCCTTCGACGCTTCTGACAGGCAGTTCTGGGCCCTGGAGAGCCGCGTGGGCACCTGTTCTGAGGGCAACATTCCAGCTCTTTGGCTAGTATTGATATTTTACAGCGTCACAAGCTTATTTGACTGTACTAAAACCATAGAAACCTGTACAAGTCCATCTAACTCCCTCCACACACACACCTCTAGCGCACAGCCATTGGGGTGATCTCATCTAACAATAATCTATGTATGCAAAGATTGAATTAAAAAAATACACAAGCAGATTAACAAATGTAACTTTTCAAAAAAGTGCCACAATTTTTACAGAATTATTTCTGGCTCCAGCTATGCTAAAAAAGGAGAGCGTCTAACCCCCAACCCACCCTACCAGGCTCTCCAAACAAGGACAAGAGTCGGGTGCCTTGACCCCTTTGCTTTCTATGCATTCAATGCGCGAGCTGGACACTTCTTCTGCCCAGAACGGATGCAGCGGGGCCCTTGACTCTGTCCCGACCTTTGAGTGTCCTCCCTGGCGCCCTTCTGAGGTCAACGCGCCAAGAGCGGCTCCTCTCCAAGAAGGGAGACAAAACCCAAAAAGCCCCCTGCTGGCCGCAGCCTGGCCCTCCTCCCTCCCCCCCGGTGGCTTGCAGCATCCTCACAGGTACAGGTAAGGGAAGCAGAGGAAACACCTTCAGCCTTCCACTCACACTGAGGCTGTGCTCTCTGGCCAAACTGTTTTCCTCCACTCTCGGAGGAGCTGTGAACCCCGAGAACCTTTAGTGCGATCAAGTGGGAGCAAAATTAGGGCCCGGCTCCCCCCCCAGTGCAAATAATCCTCCACAGGGGCTCTTCCCCACCCAAGAGACCCTCTCCCCTCTGGCTGGCAGCTCTGCTCAGCAGGCCAGGAAGGACATGCGTCCCCTCAGATCCCCGTGCTTCCTGGTCTCGGTTAGTCCCACAGGCACTTCGTCCTGGGGACGGAGAAGGAGCAAGAGGGTCAGACATCTGTTTCTCCCCACTTTAAATAACATTCTTTGGTACTAACACTACACATTCTTTCGGTCAAAATTGCAACAAGTGAACACAGAAGCAGCTTAAGCCTTTACAAAGTGCTTTGGACAAAAGAGAACTCAAGGTTCCAGTACAATTTAAGGGGCAAGAATCGGAGAAAAGTTTTCCCAAAGAAAGGGGAAAACATAGATATCGGCATCTTTAACTATAGAAAATCTAAGATTCTTAAGCACATACCTCCCACACCCAAACTAAAATAGAATAAACCCCAAATCTGTGATGCACAGGCTTTGTCGTCAGAATTGTGACGTCGTCCAGGGTCAAATGCGCAGGTCCCTTCCTTGTCCAATGGGAATGTCCCTTTCCTCCCATTCACGGCTCCTTCTCCTCCTTCTCAACTGCCAAAGGAACAAGACCCAGCATGCCCTGGGCTGGGGGGGCGCAGGGGGGGGGAGAATAGGCAGCAGCAGCATTCAACCCCCCTCCCCCGCCCCCAGTCTGTCAGTCCTTGTCCAACCCCTGCGCATTTTCAGAGCGGTTGGGTTCTGGCAAATAACTTTTCGTATCACAAAAGGCAATTTTCATATGGCAGAACTCAAGGCTAAGTACACTTTTTAAAATGCATAATCATTTCGATGCATAAAATGCACAGTTCTAAAAATATGGACCGATGACTATGATGTTGTAAATGCTTTTCATAATTCATAAGCTCCCCCCCCTTTTTTTAATTTTTTCCCCTTGTAGTCCACCGTAAATAAACTGAAGAAAGCAAATACTTAACTCCCGGCCACCAGTAATCCATTCTCCAATATTTACATGACAATTCATTAAAAAGGATTTGAAAGGATCTTCCAGAAAATGGCCAGAATATGAAGCTTCTGGACCTGATTGGAAGATTGCTGGAGAGACAGATGAGAAATGAACCTGCTGAGTGACCGGCTACAGCAACCCCAAATGAGTCATCCTGGGGTACTTGAAGAAACTAGCAAGTTCACTGTGGTATCTAAAACATGAAGCAGCCATGCTAGGTTGCGGAGGTCTAACGGAGGTGGCACTTTACTTGTGCGTGGATCTTGAAGATGTCAGGAACTCTGCCCTTCTGCGGCCGCTTAGCACGAAGGACACGCGTTGCCCTTGGGTTTCAAGGTTTTCAGATGATTTTGAGTATGGGAGGAAAGCACCCCGAAACCAAGTGCAGTGCATGCATGCACCCTGGGACGCTGTGGCTCCCCGCAGCCAGCTCTGTGGAAGGCACGTCACACATATCCCGTGCAGCCGAGGGAAGTTGAATCAACACCCTGACCTGAGCCATTCGGGCTCGTCAGAAGGGCTTTCAAGGTTTCTGCCCAACTTTTGATGGCCTTATCTTCACTCGCTTATAGGTGCATTTGAGGCAATATTTCTAAAATGAATAATGAAATTATATTGAGTCTGTAGGGAAGGGTGGTTAAGAGTGCAATTCATCCAGTTTGATGCATTTCAGAGGAGGAGCTTTTCAAAGCAAGCACCCAAAATGTAGACTCTTGTCTTAAAAAAGAGCTTCAGTGTGTGTGTGTGTGTGTGTGTGTGTGTGTGTGTGTGTGTGTGTTTTAAATCTCTTGAGATAGCATGAAGAAGGATCAGAAAAGCCCCAAATATCCATAGCATTGTCACTGTTGCTCTACGAAATGAGAGGAGAGGGAGCCTCAGTATAGAAAACAGGAACGTATTTCAGTGGTTGCTTCCAATTATTGTTATTAACAATCCAAATATTAAAAAGCAGCCAAAATAGATTTATTTTGGCAATGCAGTGGACAGCATCACTCAAAAGCAAAAGCTTAATTCAATGTATTGCTGTTTTTACTGTTCTTGTTTCTGCAGAGATGAAACTGAATGTTGGTCATTTTTACTCTGCGTTGCTAGAAATATAACCTTGTTTTTCCTTTAGCTGAAGCCTGGGGTCCATGTAAAGACACAAAAACGGCCAGGTAATTAATGATCTTAAGCATCAGATCAAAATGACTCAGAGGTGGGCAAGTTTTAAACTCAGAGCAAGACATCTTGAAATCAAAGCAGATTTGAGAATTGAGCCTCAGGCGGCCCAGGCGGTTCTCCAAAGATTGGATTCTATTTTCATCTTTTTCTCAGTAGATGTCACCTTGTGCTAAAAAGTGGTATCTAATAGGAAAATAAAAAAAAGAGGTATAATTGGGGGGTGGTGGTCTCCTCGTCTCCTTTGATAAGGCGGTTTCTCTCCTACTCTTCAGCAGGGATTACGGAAAAGAAAAGGGGCTCCGTCACTGCTTTCTTGCAGAGCGTCAGGAAAGGAACGGTTCTGGGCCGGGCGAGCACAGCGTGCAGGGATGTTCCCAGGAAGGATCACCGATTTGTGTGATTGCTGAGGGGGCTCCCTGCCATCTCGCAAAAAGCCAGTGATCCAAGGAAGGGAATTGAATGTCGTGCAACAAGAGGCAGAGCTTGGATGAGGCTGACTGGGGGAGGGTTGGGAAGGGGGAAAGAAATACAACGGAGAAAGAGAAAGAGAGAGAGAGAGAGAGAGCGTTAGAGAGGGCATGAAAAGAGAAAAAAAGCTCACAACTGGAATGTGTTCACATTCACTGGGCAAATGTTTTTACTTCTGGCTCATGGTCCACAGGAGAAGAAAGATGAAGTAGTACCAGCTGCAAAAAAGCCCCCATGATTTCCGGGCCTTGGGAAAACTTCCAGCCCTCCTCTTGCCTTCCGCCCATTCCTGCGGCCCTCGGAACCACTTGCAGGAATCGGGCTCTCTGCGAGCATCTTCCACACCAGCCACTGCAACAGGCGACACCCGGCTCTCCTCGGGTGTCTGTTCAAGTGAGAAGGTGAAGCGGAAGGTCCGAGCGCTGGGAACAGGACCGGCTGTCTGTGGCCTCCTGCTTGAGCGGGGCTGGGGGCTGGATTAGAAGACCTCCAAAGGTCTCTTCCAACCCTGTTATTCTACGTACGTAGTTGGACGACGGATGGGGTGTCTTGAGCCTGATTGTATGTGCAAAGAAAGCCCTGTCTGAAAGCAAAGTCTAGCAGGCGCATGGATAGCCACTACATTCTCTTGGTCTGCTTTGGGGTTTGCGTCTCCCGCCATTTCCAGGGATGCTTCGGACCTTTTCTTGGAGAGATGAAAAAGGAGCTGCAAAGACTGCTGAAAAACCAACCCAACACACACACACACACACCCCACTCCCACCCCGAAAGTCTTCCCTTATGACCTGCTTGCCACTGGGCAGAAAATAAACAGCACCGGGAAAGCAGCCGCGGATGGTTCTGGGCCAGGCCCTTCCCTGGGTGTGCAGGGGGGGCCACCAAAGCCGCGGTGGGGAATGCACAAGCACAAGAATGTAAACAGGGCCGCCAGGCGCCACGCCACAAAACTGGAAGAGGAAGTCCACGCACACGACGGGCCACCGAAGCCGGCAAATCTCTTGACATGAAGGCAAGTTCAGGGCAAAGCAGGAAAAGTGAACCTGAAAGGGGCCCAGCAAGGAGCTCTTTGTGGCCACGGTGCCTCTTGGGGGACACACACTGTGCCTCTTGGGCCAAGGCACTGCAGGGCAGGAGTCCAGGGGCCCGAGGAAAGGAGGCCGTCCACCACTCGCCCTCACTGGGAGTGGAAGTAGATGGGCTTCACCTTCCCAGAAAGGATCTTGGGGACCTGCACCGAGATGATCTCCGCCATCATTTCAGGGTAGTCGACACTCACCATATGGGACTTCACCAAGAGGTCAAAGGTGAACTGATGCAGCTCTCTGGCAATCTGAGGAGGGAAAGGGAGGTTGTCACAGGGAGGCCCTTGTCTCGCTGGGGGGGGGGTTGTGTGTGCTTCCACACCCTGGAGGACGGGAGGAGCCCCCGGCGGTTCCAAAGGAGGAAAGTTTGGGGCTGCTTCAAAGGGAAGGGGGAAGAATTCCCAGGGGTCCCTCATATCCTGTTGCTCTGGCTGGACCTGTGTTGTAAGGGCACTTTATTCTCCCGCAACCAGGAAATGCGCAGAACATTCGGCCGGGTGTGACTTTCTGTTTTGTTTTGCTGGAGCTTCTAGAGTTCTCATGGCAAGCGGTGACCCACAGCCTCCTCCTCCTCCTCCTCCTCCTCCTCCTCCTCCGAGCCCACTGTCCAGGCAAGAGCTCCTCTTCAAACCAAAGGGCCAGACCCTTTTGCTCCGTGGCCAAGGGCTGCCCCAGAATGCGCCCCAACATGGTGATGTCCATGGAAGAGGAGGGGCTGCCGGACACCCCATCTGGTCCCTCTCCTTGCAGCTGCCTAACTCAGCATTCCTCCAGTCTCAAATTCAGACGGAATCTCCTTTTCTTCCCTAAACCCTGCATAAAAAGGGCTCCCCGCCTCCCTCCCCACCCCACCCCCTGCCCTGAAATAGTAGCGTGGAATAATTCCAGATGTTTAACACTGGTGGTGAGGCTGGATGCTCCGCAGCCTCTGGTAAGAGGACGCTCCACGGAAGGGAGTAGCGTCACCCAATGAGTGCTAGGGATCTCGTGTGCAGACCGGCCGATTGGCCGGGAGCTCCTTGAAGGAGGTGCTGACAGGTGTGGCGCACATAGCCAGCCCAGACTCGAATCCAGGTCCGGTTAGCCACAGATCCCTAAGTGGAATCAGGTTTGGCTTTTCAAACCACAGTTCTGGGCTTCCCTTCCCCCACGCCTTCCTTTTCTCCCTTCCTTTAGACAGACAAGTCTTTGATGTGCCGCCCATTGGTCTTTTCTCACTCTCTCCCCTCCGCTGCATGGAAGCACCGCCCTGCCCTCTGTTGGTGGGGCCGGCAGCGGGAAATACGCCAGCTGCCCCCTTCTACACGTAACGGGAGCTGGGGATCCAACAGGGAACCTGTTCCAATCCACGGAAACTTAGCGGACGGAGCTTCCCCAAGAAGACGTCCTGGCAGGGCCCCCTGAAGAGGACTGGGAGAGCTTGGCTCTGACCCAAAGAGGAAACACCCAGCAGGAATTAAGCGGTGGGGGACTCTTTCCCGCCCAAGCTGCACGTGGCTGTTGAGCGGTGGGCCAGGAGCCCCAGTCTAGAATGACAGAACAGAAACTTCCTTTTACAGGTAACTTGGTTAATACTAATACGGCAACCACTTTGTCTACTTTTGGGTCTCTCTGGGGCTCGGCCCAAGGATTTTGGGACTACCGCTTGCAGCTCTGAGATCCTATGACTTCCTGGGCTTTGCGTTTCCTCTTTCGAAGCCCTTTGGGGTCTGAGCAGGCCTTGCCCCGCACCCCAAGCCCCTTGGCCAACTCCCCCACTTTCGCACTTACCGGCTGCACCGAGTCCAGGAGCTTTGTGAGCTGATAGAAGCGACGTGAGCAAGACGTGGGGTTCTTCCTTTTGCAAGCAATGATGCGGTCCAGCTCCTTGATGTAGTTCATCCGGAGCTCATCAAAGAACTTCTGATTCTTCAGGCCGTCCACTGGGACTGAAACAGGAGAAGGAGAGGAAGTAAAAGGCACAGATGCAGACCCAGGAAAGAGACCCAGGAATATTGAGGGGGGCGGTGCCCCTCCCTCCCTTACAAAAGTGCAACCAATAGGGCCGCTGCCACAGAGAACACAGAATAACAGAGATGGGAGGGTACTTGGAGGTTATCTAGTCCGGCCCCATTTCCTGCCAGTGAGAACAATTAACCTGTGGAACGGCCTGCCTCTGGAGGCTGTGAGTGCTCCTTCACTGGAGGTTTCCAAGTAGAGACTGGGCAGCCGTTTGTCCAGAATGGTACAGGATCTCCTGATGGAGCAGGAGGAGGTTGATCTAAAAGACTCCCAAAGGTCCCTTCCAACCCTCTTATTTTATCTTTTATTCTAAGTACAAAAACAGGGGGGTGAAAAATGCCGCCGCTTACTGATACTGAAGAGGAGCAGAGCCTTCATACAGAGAAATTCTTGAGGAGTAATCTGAAGCCATCCAAATTCTTGAGAGAGATGTCGCATCCTGACACACTGGCTGTACATTCTGGATTTGTGCATTCGGTACCTAGGAGAAGAAAAGAAGTTAAGGCATGAATAGGAGAGAAACAGCTTAGCAGAGTTTGCCTTTCTCACAAGAACTAAATCCACGCATTTCACTGTTGTACACGGCTTGAGATGTTTATGAATGCTACCATTTCAGTCTTGATGGAAACTTCGTCTCTCTTGCTTATTTTGTTGGTCACATAATGGTGCAAAAGTTGACCCCTCCCTCCACAAAGGCCCTCATAGCCCCAAGTCCAGCCCCCTTTCCCCCCTCTGCAAAATCCCACCAGCCCTTCCCTGAGACTTCTGTCATTTCCTATGAGAAAGCCTGTAGCAAGGAAACAGTGATGCCCCTCAGCTAACAGGCCCCATTGGGAAATCCGTCCCAAAGCAGCAGGACCCCCTCCCAGCACTCAGGAGCATCTCGTCTTCAGGCTGCCATGTATTCCTGCTGGTCTAACTATGCACTGAGCCACCTTCCATCTCTTCCATCAACTTTTGCTGAGTAAGGTTGAGTGTCTGCGTTGTAAACTTGATTGCAGGAAATACGACTTCAGCAACAGAGGGGTCAATGTCTGGAATACTCGACCCGACTCTGTGGTTTCTTCCCCAAACCCCAAAAACTTTAACCTTAGGCTGTCTACTATGGACCTCACCCCTTTCCTAAGAGGTCTGTAGGGAGCATGCATAAGCGCACCAACGTGCCTACTGTCCTACTGTTTCTTTTATTTTTCTCATATGTATCCATATAGTTTTGAATATATCTATATATTCAAAACTATGTTTATTCTTATACCTGTATCTTGTAAGCAACTGACAAATCAAATCAAATCAATCAATAAATAAAATGTGTGCCTGTCTCCAGAGGAATGAAAAGACAGGTGAGGAGATGTGGAATCTGCCAACTACAAGATAGCCCAGGAAGCCTGAAGAGCGCTCAATCTATTTGCACATACCCAGGTGGACCTAATCTGTATTCGTATCTTTTCTTTTTCCTGCATAGGTGTAAAAACTTGTTTTTCTCTACGTTACGTTTTATGTTGTTGGGTAGGGCCCATTGTCCAAGTCTCTCAAAACCTATTTGTATCCTGCACTTGTCTTCTGGGGTGTTGGCTACTCCTGTGAGCTTGGTGTCATCTGCAAATTTGATGAGTTCCCCTTCTATTCCCTCATCTAAGTCATTTATGAAGATACTGAAGAATACTGGGTCTAAGATGGAACCTTGTGGTACCCCACTGGGTACTTCCTCCATGTAGATGTACTTCCAGTCAGTGCCTAACATCCTTTTCATGAGATCATGGACACTTCAAAATGAGTCAGAAGGATGCGTTGGAACTTCCATGATCACAAACTTCTCTCTGTTGCTCATTAAAGCAGCCATGTTTTTTTCCAAATAACTCTAAGCATATATGGTTTTAATGGTATGGCTGACATTACAAGTATGGCTGTTTTAATGAGTCCATTCATTAAAGTTGCTGGGCCTTTTTTTCCCAGTCTCGCTTAGCAGCTTGAAAGAACATGTGGCTGCCTTAATGACTAACAAAATTTGAAAGCAGTTCTTCCAAAATATTTATTACTTACCTATTTCTCTCCCTCCCCTTCCTATTTCCATAATTATTCTTAGGGTGAAAAAATATCATGAGGGGAGCTTTTATAAGTATTTAAAAAAATGATCCAGAGTTATCTTATAACCTGTAAACTTCCAAATATGCCACATTGTAATGGCCAGCTAACAAGCCTTGGGAATGGATCTTGCCATATAAGTTGCCTTATTAATAATACTTTATTATTTGACCATTAGGCCGTATCAGAATACAAAAGATAATATAGAGAATAGTAATAAAACCACTCACTAGTAAATATGGCAAAATACATAAGTGAAAGAAAATGCAAATCTTAATTTCTCTGTCAGCCCTACAATTTACTCCATAGATTCTGATCTAAGCTGTTCTCAATTGTCCTGTTTTGTTCAGATAAAAGGCCCTATTGAAATAGGCCCTCCCACAAGGCCTCTTGCCATCTGTGGCACATGCAGCTGTAGGCAAGGTCATCTGAAAACAAGCACGCCAAGTACACAGCTAGATCTTGGAACTTCATTTCTGTAGTATCTGGCTACAAAGGTCAGCCTGAATCCTTCTCCAACAGATGCCCAGGGACTGAAGTAACTGAATACACGAACTGCATACAGAAACTCTGGTAGTCAAATAGTGCACAGAAGAAAACATGGGAAGTCCCCTGTCTGCCCAAGACCTGGGATAGAGAAGCCAGAAGTGCAGAAAACAGTGGCTGTGCTTGGGTCAAGACAGCTGCATGCGGGGGGAGGGGGAGTACTGCTTTACAGAACTTTGATCCTCCAAAGTGGTGAGGCCTCAGCATTTCATGCCAGAGATCAACAAAAGATGGAATATTTCAAAGGACGCAAAACCCAAGGAAAGGACCAGTCCTTGACCACTTGAGAAAATGCAGCATATGCCTGGAAAATAGATATTCACTATTTACACTGAAACATTTCTCTGGAAGAAACTTTTACTAAACACTCCTAACTAAGCTCATGTTTAGACTTCGAGGTCTACTTTTTTACTCATCTACTTTCCAGAAATTTTGATCTCTACGTCTGCCTCTCAGAAGAAGTGTCATGCCCCTGGTGGAGACTGACTCTGAGGGAGAGGAGGAACAGCCAACAGGGAGTGGAAGTGGGGCTCCAGAGGTTGTGGAGGAGGCTGGGGAAGGGTGGAGGCCGGCTGGGCAGTCAGAGGAGGACCCAGGCCCATCCCCTCTCCATCCTGGGGCACGCAGGGAGGAGAGGATAAGGGAGAGACGTGGTCTACGGAGGAGGACAGGGCCTTGATCCTCTTCATGGGCTGCAGCTGTGACAACTGGATAAGAGGACAGGCATGCGTAAGGGCCAGTGCTGGAAACATAGCATGGAAATATCTCTAGTTTATTGTTCCTCTCTGAGTTCGGTGTCCTTCCCAGTGTGTGTTCTGATATCTGTGGACGTCTTCCAGCCCTTATCTTGCCTGGTTTGTGTTGTTTTTTTTTACTCTTTATAATTTAAACGGCATTTTCTCCTTCTTATAACTGCTTGTGTGGGAGTTTTTTGTCTCCAGTCAAGGATATTTGGAGCTTGGAAGCAAAGTGAAGGAATAAAAGGGGCTTCGCCTGTTTTTTGTGACTGGTTTATTTTGTATTCCACCCTGGGTCATCACAAGAAATGAGCATGTGAAACAAAGCAAACGCTACCTTGTGTGGCTGCACATTTGCCTCTTGACTCTTGTGTAAATGTAATCTCAATGACGTTGCATTCAAGAATTGAAACAAGTCAAGCAGACACAATTTGAGCTCAAAAAGTTTGACCTTGTATGAGAAAGCTTCCTTTTCACTGAAAGTGACCCTGTGGCTCATTTGCCCTGCCGTTCCTGAGGAAATGGGGGGGGGCTTCCTCTGGCTTTTGCTTAAAGCCGACCACAGGGTAACCCCCCTTTCCACTTTCTCAATCAAGTCTAACACGAAACAGAGGCAACCTACTCATTGAAGACCAAGTCTGGAGCAAAATAAAGCATCCGGGAATTCACATTGGTGAAGGACCTCCATCCCATGGCAAAAATCATCAAGCCCATCCAGGAATACTGAATGATGGCCATCTGGTCATCTACGTGCAGGTTGCGGAACCCTAGGAAGAAAAGTCAGAAAGGTTAAATTAGCTGGAGGCAAAGCTCTTCCTTCAGGTCAGGGAGCAGCTGGGTTGTTAGCCTGGGCTCAGGCCGCTGGCACCTCAAGACCGACAGAAGGCCTTCTCCAACACCGATGGCAGCTTGTGGCATTTTAAATCTGGTAGCGAGGGAAAGACAAGTCATATACAACACATTTTCTTACTGAAGGTTTTCTGTTGTTATTATAGAACAAGCTATTTTATAAAAAAGGACATAATTAGGGATGAAATTGGAAAGAAAATAAACTAAAAGTTCACACCATAAACTATTTGGATTCCGAGTGGCATACAGCCTGGGCCGCTGTATGACTCCATGGGAGGAGAGAGGCATTAAGTCCAAGGTCTGCTGGGATGCCTCAATAAAACCCAGAATGTTCTCAAGCAGAATTATCAGAGGTTCATGTAATTTGATGCCAGATATCTAGGACAGTGGTGGGATTCAAAAAAATTTACTACCGGTTCTGTGGGCATGGTGTGGCTTGGTGGGTGTGGCAGGGGAAGGTTACTGCAAAATCCCCCTTCCCTCCCCACCCACTGGCCTGCTTTCCAGCTCCGTTCTCCTGTGCAAGCTGGGACTCAATGGGAGGCAGAGAAGAGATGGGGGCGGGGCCAATCAGAGGTGGGATTGGCTGGTTCTCCAACTACTCAAAATTTCCGCTACCGGTTCTCCAGAACTGGTCAGAACCAGTAGAATACCACCTCTGGTCCAGGATCTCCAACATCTAGCGTGGACCTTGTTAACCCTGGTGACATCCAAGACAGTATAATTTTCTGACATTTATATCTCACCATACTTTTAATGGGAGAGAAGACCCTCTTTGTCTGACTCCACTGAGGAGGCCCGTCCAGTGGGGTTGAACCTCTGGCATAGCTTCTACCTTCCTCACAGCACACAAGCCCCACAACCACGTCTCACTGGGAAATTGTTGTTCTTGTGCAATCCACATGGGCAATCCAAATTTCTTTGGATCACTCTAGGGTCAAAATATATAGGTCTCGGTGACATATCCCACCCACCCAGCTTGTCTTGTGCTTTATTGGTCTGTTATTTTCTAAAACAGGAAATGAACAGTCTTCTCCCTATGAACCAACAGCCATAAGCCTCAATGCAGAAAAGTGTGATTTGGACCTTCTGAATTTTGTGATAGAGAATATCTAAGGTCCTTGGGGATCAACTCAGAAGATTCTTTTCTAGAATTTTTTCTTGGTGCTATTCTTTCAGCGTCAATTTCTATACTTAGAAAAAAATGGCAATATTGTTTTTGTACAGGCATTTGACAGCATAGGATAGCTAACATTAACACAGAAGTCAGAGTGTTCAAACCATTCATATAGATTGCCGTGATCTGTACACAGACGAGAGCTTGTAATATTCTTTAACATCATCTAAGTAAGTTTCAAGAAGAGGCAAAAAAATTAAAGGATCTTAGATTTCTTTCTTACAGTTACAGATTGCATTACAACTTAATTGGAGATGGAATTCATCCTATCTGTGGTAAATATAAGCCAACAAGTTTAACATCTTCAAAAACTACTAGCATTAACAAAAAAAATCCCACAACAACTAAAGCTGAAATTACAGTTTGGATTATCGCTGAATTTGCAGGAAACCTGCCTGTAGCTATCACCTCAATGACACTTTGAGATACCCTATCACACTAATGCTGCATTGGTTTTGGAAAGCGCAGTTAATAAGTGTTTGGCATCAAGCACATTTTTACCTGCTTTCCCACTGGTATCTCAGTGCATAATTAAAAGTTTCACTTGAACTCTACTAATATTAATTAAAAAAACTTTGTTAGCATTTTTCGCAATAGCAATAGCACTTAGACTTATATACAGCTTCATAGTGCTTTACAGCCCTTTCTAAGTAGTTTACAAGGTCAGCATCTTCCACCCAACAATCTGAGTTCATCATGGCTTTTTTTCTAAATAGTAGTTAAACAATGTTCATTAACAATTATTTTATTGGCGGTAAACACTGAACTATCATTTTTGTAATTAATATTTTCAGCTCATTATTAAAATATTAAAGTTCATATAAGTTCTTTCTAGCAATATTCTGAACAGTTCTATATATATTTTTTAAATGCCCTGAAAACTCTTCTGTAAGTTAATCCAGCATCAGAAGGTGTATACTGACTCCCTGACTTGCTATTGTAATGAAAGGAAAATTCCATGGTGGAAATCACCACGAAGAAATGCGGGAATATCATTTCCAATTTTATCATGTGCCCCCACTATCCTATGTCCAGCCATTACTCATTTCACATTTTGGGGAAATACATATTCTATCTGCTTAAGTTAAAACTGTGCTCTTCTCATGAAAACAACATAAATCTGCTTGCTTGAAGCTTTGGCTTTTTTTTTCATATCCCTTATGAGAGAGAACTCAAAAGGAGGAAGAGATCGGGACAAAGGCATCCATATCTGAGGCATGTCAAAAAGGAGAGCAAACCTTCAACCAGGCACAGCTACCATCTAATATTCTGACCACCCTTTGTGGATGCTACTTTGATCTGAATATGAATGTAAGAATGGGGAGGGGTCTTAGACCTAGGGTCCAAAATCCCGCCCAGTGCAAATGGCCAGATGACCATCCAGCCTCTTTTTAAAGATACCCCTAGACCCCTTTATTAGTATCTGTTGCGCTAGTGGACGGCTCTTCACATTAAGGTATGTTTGCTGATGTTCAGTTGACCTCTACTTCCTTTTCCTTGCTTGAAGTTGTTATCTTACTATCCAACCAAACGAATTGCAATGTGGAGAAATGCAAAGTTTTACATTTAGGTAGGAAAAAATCAAAGATATAAGTACAGATTAAGTGAGACCTGGCTCAAAAACAATAACTGCGAGAGGGACCTTGGGGTCCTAGGAGGATCACTTAAATATGAGCCAGCCATGTGCAGCAGCAGCCCCAAAAGCTAATACAATCCTGGGTTGTATAAACAGAGGCATAGAATTAAGATCGTATGATTTATAAAACCCTAGTAAGACCACCACTGGAATACTGAAACCAGTTTTGGTCACCATACTACGAAAAAGATGTTGAGACCTTGGAAAAAGTTCAGAGAAGAGCAACTAAGATGATCAAAGTCCTGGAGACTAAAACATGAAGAACGGCTGCAGGATTTGGGTTTGGCCAGTCTAGAGAAAATAAGGACTTTTAGGGGGGACATGATAGCGGTATTCTAGTATTTGAGGGGCTGCCACAAAGAAGAATGCGGGTCAAATTATTCTACAAAGCACCAGAAGACACGACAAGAAGCAACAGTTGGAAACTAATGAAAGAGAGAAGCAATCTGGAATTAAGGAGAAACTTCCTAATAGCGGGGACAAGTAACCAGTGGAACAGCTGGCCACCAGAAATTGTGGATGTTTCATCACTGGGGGTTTTTAAGAAGAGACTGGACTTGTCTGAGACGGTCTAAGTTCTCCTGCTTGAGCAGGACTAGAAGTCTCCCATGGTCTGTTCCAGCTCTATTCTATTCTAAGGTTCTTGTTTCTGGTCCTGATTTCTGGAACAACTTGGGACAAATCTACCTCCTTAGGCCAAAACTGTTGTTTATTCACTTCTCTGAAGGCCACTTCAGCATCTTAGCCAGCTTCATTCAGCTGCGTCTGTTTTCTGTGTACATCATTCACAGAGTTTTAGACATTTTCCCTCCGCTAAGCCGTTCACCTTGTCCCTTCTACCCATTCTGAGACGTCAACCTGCCTCTTCGTTTGCCCTTGGTTCCTCCACTCCCGCTAACTCTTGAACTTACTCCCAGCATCAGGTGAAGCCCAAATAAACCTCCCTGTCAAATGCGATTAGGAAGGACGAAACAGAGATCGGCTCTTGCTGAAAAAGTTAATGGCTCCCATTACTTGAAAGAGCTTAAAGACAATTCACAGGGCAGCTTTAGTGGTCAAAAAGCAAAAGGCTGATTTCTGTCAAAATGTGCAGTTTTTAGCGTCTGCTGCTAGTGCCGTTGCGATGACATCGGAAAAGAGAAGAGGAAAAAAAAGGCAGGTCCCTGCTGAGTTTGCTGCAGAGGCAGGAAATAGGTGTGAAGAGAACAGTTCAACATGCCAGAATCACGGAGATCCATGGTTACACAGTCATTCCCTTCACACTCTAACTCTCCCTTTCCTTTCAGCGAGACATTTATTTAGGCCTATTTTCAGGCAGGTGTAGACCTTGCCCCCTCCTGAAGCCTACCCCAGGCCCGAAACTCCGAGTCCCCTGAGGCTGAGCCTCAACCTCTCCTGCCGGGGTAGCCAGACCGAGGAGGCCCCCCGTCTGCCGGCAAGGGTGGTCCCCAAGGCAGCCCTTCCCGCCCTTCTATGGCGTTGCCTTGAAGGGGGGCTTCGAAGGAAGAGGCATGCCTTTGGCTAGCTGCCAGTTCCTATGATAAATCGGAACAAAATATTTATTTAACATTAATGACTGCAGTTGCAAAGAGGCTTTAACTCTCCCGGTGCTACCTATAAGGAAGATACCAATTTGTATCCATTGCTTAAAGCAACTGGCAGAAAAGCAACAGAACTAAAAGAGGAGAAAAACAGCCGTTAAAGGGGGGACTCCGAATAGCTTCCATTGCCCACCCTTGAGGGTCCATCTGGCTGGAGGAAGAGCCGACAAGTTGCTAACAAGATACTTGCCAGCTCTGCCACCTTCCCTACTATGCACTGCTAAGCTTGCTGGCACCCTGCCATAAACGGAGGGAGGAGGGAGAAGTTATGCAGGTGGTGTGAATGGTTTCTATGGGTAGAACGTGCCCAAAAGAGATGGATGAAGGAATGACAGATGTGGAACAAGTTTTTATCTGTCGAGATAGCTTAAAAAAGAGAAATGCAAACGATAAGAGAATGATCTGAAAGATATTTTTCTTATTGGATCTACAAAACAGGCTTATTAAAGCCTTGACAAAATTTGTGTGATGGGATAAAGAACTGAAACCCAAACAAAGCCTATG